GCTAACTTTAACAATTTATTTCTCACTCACCGAAAATCAGTTTTGAGAAAATAAATATACCATGAGTATCTACTCGGAACGTAGAATTTTTCTACAATATTTAATTCAACTCAAATTAAATATTTAGCAATCAAAAATTCAGTCAAAACTAGGTCAAACCCAAGTTTTATAACTGATTTTTCCAACAATCCCCCACATGAGTGGAAATCAAATGTATGCATGTATGCAGACTCTTGTGCTCAATCCTCACAAGAGTCTATTTAATCAGAAAAGGTAGCTTGTGGCTTTGAACCTTTCTTAGTAAACATCATCGGATGTACTGGCGGCTTAGTGGACATAGTGCCTTGAACTATTCCTCCATAGTGTACACCAAGACAATGACATTCACACAATAGAGCCTTAACTCCATTCCGTTCTATTGTTGTGTCCGTTTTGGCCATGGACAACACTTTGGATTCATAAGTGTTTACAATTGAAGCGGCCCTCACTTCACACTTATATAGGTGACCTCCCTGTCAAGAGTATCCTGTATTACTCTACCTTTAAAAGGTTAGGGATTCATTAAAAGTCTATGCGACTTACCCTCACCACAATCAACAGATAATCTTGCACTTGGATTGCTTTAGGGAATAGATTTGGACATTCTAATGTTCCAAGTGCTTAGCTGAATTTTCATAGTTTAGTTTTCCCCTTGAACCAAGTTTATGGGATCTCCATTCAGCAAGGTAGGGTTACCACTATGATCATTCTTTTCATTGTGGATTTTTAATCCCATTCCCTCTAGCAGTATTCCCAATTGATCTCTATTCAATCCTTTAGTAAAAGGATCAGCCAAATTTTCCTTAGACTTTACGTAGTCAATGGAAATAATACCATTTGTGATCAATTGGCGAACGGTATTATGTCTACGACGAATATGTCTAGATTTACCGTTGTACATGTTACTTTGCGCCCTTCCTATAGCGGCTTGGCTATCACAGTGAATCATCACAGGCGACAACGGTTTATTCCAACATGGAATATCGAATAAGAAGTTTCGAAGCCACTCGGCTTCTTCACCAGCTTTATCTAAAGTGATGAACTCCGACTCCATGGTTGACCAAGCTATACATGTTTGTTTTGTGGACTTCCACGAAACAGCTCCTCCTCCGATACAGAAGACATATCCACTTGTGGAGTGAGAATCTCTCGAATCCATATCCAGCTTGCATCACAATATCCTTCAAGTACTGCTGGATATCTCGAGTATTTTAGCCTGTATCCAAGGGTGTACTTTAAGTACTTCAGTACTCTTTTCAAAGCATTCCAGTGCTCATGACTGGGATTGCTCGTAAATCTACTCAACTTATTCACTGGATAGGCCAAGTCTGGTCGTGTACAGTTCGTCAAGTACATTAGACTCCCTATTATCCGTGAATATTCCAATTGAGCAACTGGTTGACCTTTATTGGCTTCCAGATTTATGCTAAGATCAAGGGGTGTCCTAGACAAAAGACCTTCATAGGCATTAAATTTCTTGAGCACTTTCTCTGCGTAATGAGATTGTGACAAGACAATTCCATCTTGGGTTCTGATAATTCTTATTCCAAGATTACATCAGCTAAACCCATATCTTTCATGTCGAAATTTCTTTTCAACATTCGTTTCGTATCCATGATCACGTCATGGCTACTCCCCATGATCAACATATCATCTACATATAGACATACAATTACATATGTATTTGATGTGTTTTTAACATAAACACATTTGTCACATTCATTGATTTGAACCCATTAGACAACATCACGTCATCAAATTTCAAATGCCATTGTTTCGGAGCTTGTTTAAGTCCGTACAAGGATTTGATCATTACACACCTTTTTCTCTTGTCCAGGTGCTACAAAACCTTCGGGTTGTTCCATGTAAATCTCTTCTTCTAATTCACCATTCAAAAATGCCGTTTTGACATCCATTTGATGAATCTCAAGATTGTGCAAAGCAGCAATCGAGAGAAGCACTCTAATTGACGCTATACGTGTCACAGGTGAATAGGTATCAAAGAAGTCGTACCCTTCTTTTTGTTTAAAGCCTTTGACCACTAATCTTGCTTTACACTTATCAATCGTTCCATCAGCTTTGTATTTTCTTTTTAGGATCCACTTGCATCCTAAAGATTTACAACCCGCAGGGAGATCAACCAACTCCCAAGTATGATTTTGCATAATGGACTCGATTTCGCTATTTATAGCTTCTTCCCAGAGTGGTCCATCTGGGCTAGACAAAGCTTTCTTAATGGAACTCGATTCATCGTCTAACATATACGTAATAAAATCAGGTCCAAACGTTTTTGCCGTTTTTACCCTTTTACCACGTCACGGTTCTTCTTCTTTATCTTTAGTACCATCTGGTACAGAACCGCTAGCAGTTTCATACGTCCTTTTGTTAGAACTAGATTCTGCCCTTTCCTTCAGAGGAAAAATATTCTCGAAGAATATAGCATTCCTCGACTCAATAGTGGTACCAACCTATACCTCCGGATTTTCTGATTTATGAACCAGAAATCTATATGCACTACTATTGTACGCATATCCAATAAAAATACAATCGACCGTCTTAGGTCCGATTCTCATTTGTTTTGGTTCAGGAACTGAAACCTTAGCCAAACACCCCCACACTTTCAGGTATTTATAAGACGGCTTACGATTTTTCCACATTTCGTAAGGAGTCTCATTTTTCCCTTTAGATGGTATTTTATTCAGAATATGATTTGTTGTTGTTATCATCCGACTCGGCAAGACGCTGTTAAGAGGTTTTAAGCATCCTATTAAACGCGATTAACAGTTAAACCGACATGAATCAGAACCGCACCGATCTACACCAAAGAACCGATCTGAACCGCTGAGGACCGAAGTGATTAAAATTACCGAGGTTAACACCCACCGAGGACAACATGAACCGAGGTCGTCACCTCCTTAAGCAGGTGACAAGGCATCTACGAGAAGCTCTCCTACGCCACAAGATCTGTCATCATTTACGTGGGGCCCCCTACCTCGAACCGCCCATAAAAAGCCACTTTATTCAAAAAGTAGTACGCGGATCCCGATGCCTCAACCCAAAACTACTATAAATAGCGGACCTATGACAATTGTGAAGGGATCTCGTTTTTCTCTAGACATTACCGAATTGTAAACCCTTTATTACGTAACACGCAAAAGCCCGTCACGGCTCTTCACCTCGGTTCACCTCGGACCGGGGCCATTATTGATTCAACTTTACATGCTTTACGTTCAAATCATTCCCAATTACTCACTTAATCATTCCCTATATCGTTGTTAACAATCACATAACAACAGTTGTTAAAACAACGTCCCCCCACATATTCTGGGGTAATCCTGAATTTATCAACATGGCATTCATCATCTCTTTTAAAGTTCGATTCTTGCGTTCAGCAACACCGTTCGACTGTGGAGAATAGGGGGTCGTCGTTTGATGAATTATGCCATATTCAGAACATATTTGTTCAAAAGGAGCTACATACTCCCCACCCCTATCACTTCGGATTATTTTAATCTTTTTGCCGAGTTGATTTTCAACTTCGGTCTTAAAATTTTTAAGAGCTTCCACAGCCTCGTCATTGCTTCTTAAAAGATATAAGTAGCAAAACCTTGTGCAATCATC